ATTATCATTTGCTGTATATATATATATATATATATGTATATGTATGTATATGTAAAATCCCCTCGATGAACAAACATGATGATTTAAGTAATAGTTTCCTCGTATATACTGGTAAGGAATGCAAAGTTGAGTGGCTCTGGAGCTTCTTTTGCTACCGTATAAAAATGTTAAGGTGAAAAATTAAAAGAAAAATAAACAAAACGAAATCAGCAAAATCATCAGCACATAAGTAAGGTCAAAGTGTACCCGCATATACTTATATGCAGATATGTGTGTATGCTTAAAAAACTACATATGTGTAAATTTATGCAAAAATAAAAAAAAAATATATATGTAAATAAAAATAAAAAAAAATAAAAATAAATAAATAAATAAAAAAAAAATGAGAGAGAGAGAGAGAAAAAAAAATGTAGAAAATTGCTATTGCGATAATTGGCTACTTTAGGTCGTGCTTTGTAAAAATTCTTTTAGCAGCAGGCTGCAGTTTGAAAGCGCAAAAGGAACTCGGGCGCTGGTCGGTTGAGCAGCATAAGGAAATAAGTGTAAGATAAATCTAAAAGGCTTTGCTTGTAAACTTCATATGTTTTGCTAATGTTTATTGTGGTAATTACATGGATTAATAAATTTATTACCAACAACAACATCATCACATACTAACATAAGCAAATTCCAATTTAATTCATTTCACAGACAGGCACAAGTCGTTTCATTTAAGGAATGCCTTTACGTACCATATAATTTTCTATAATATATATTTTAAAGATTGAAATCATAGCTGCTTGCCTGATAGCCTATATAATAATTTTAGAAAAAGTTCATAACTATTAATCTTAGTAAAAATCATGTTAAAATAATGCTAGAGAGAAAAAATCTCAAGTTGATTGATAAGTAGGTTCGCGACGTAAGTAAAGATCATTTATTAATATGAGCGAATTGAGGCGATTGAGAGAATGATGATTGATTGGCAATCGTAGATGTAAAAGTAAATTTGCAACAACGAAAATAGAAATTATGTAAGGATATATGATTACATTATACGGCAAACTTTCCTCATTCACTCCGCACTATTTGCTGTAGAAGCATCGATTCTGCGCTCTATCGTGTAAATCTCACATTTAATCAGGTAAAGAGACGCGACGGAGTTGGAGAACTTGAGAATACTGTGCAAGATATGAAAATAAATAATACAAGCGAGATTTTCTGATATATATATATATATAGCGTCTTTTTTCCCCTGTTTGGATGACTTTAATCTTAATACGCATCAAGCATAATGCAATAAGCAATAATTAAATTTATTCCCTAAAAATATCGTAATATTTATCGCATAGAGTATATAATCGTTTGTTTCCAACATTCAGATCTTCCGATTAGTGAGTGAATAAGATTGAATAGTTAGTTGTTCGATAAAATCTAATCAAATGCAAATCTCAGCTTGGCATTGCATCAAATAGACTTTTGCTCATTATACTCATACTAATGAGCAATTGATGAACTCATTGAAAATCCATTTCATGTGAAAATCTTATATCGCTTGAATTTTCAATGACATTGATCTGTAATTAGCTTGGATAGTTTGGGATTGATTCGGCAGATCTTCAACCCCCAGCTCTAAAATTAGTCGGGGAAAATAGAGAACAAGTCTTAGCTTTTCAATTGAATGTCACGATCATCGTAACGATACGAATGTGTAGAGTATACGATGAGCAAATCGTGCCTATACTGTCGTGGTTCGCTTTAGTCATTTTTGTAATGTGCGAAAAGCCGAATTGTGTCGTTAAAAATGATGCCGCGAAACAATGCTTCTGAACAAATAAATGTTAACTGAAGATAGCATGAAGGCGGGATAACTCAATTAAATTTTTCGACAAAGCTTATTATATTTTACAACATCTGCGGTACAAGGGTGTACTAAGTTTGTGTGGATGTAGGCTACACCCTGTAAGCCTTGAGTTAGATCTACATTTTATTATACCGTTCAGTTCAGAATCACTTCCTGAATCGACTTAAGCCTCTTTGTGCTCGTTTTTGAGAAATTTTGTTGAAATTTGGTGCAGCGACGAGCGATATTAAAATTCGTTCGAACTAACTAGAATAGAGCTTACCACGCCGTCTGTAAAATTTTCATAATATGCAAAAAAAAAGAAAGGCTTAAAACCTAAAAGAACCGATAAGGAAGTTATACTCGGCGCCCACCGAATACGGTATACCTACCACTATGCTTTTTGCTTCCAAGTTTTTTTCATTAGATGCATATATCGCTGGTATTATTAAGGAAAACCTAATTGCGGTATCTACGGATCTTAGAATAAATGAGCATAAAATTTCAAAAAATGTGAAAAATTATTAAATTTAATCACTTGTAACTTGGTGTGGGTATGGCCGATATCTTCAACTTTTCCACATGACAAGTAGAATGATGCGGATAATGTCAGGCTACTGTCAACTTTTATAACTTCGAAGCAACGAGCAAAAATCCATAACTTTTTGTTTGGGAAAACAAAGTTAAGTTTAGTGTATGCTCCTCTGCGGGTTTCTGCTCTGACCAATTTGGCCCATTTTCAATACACACAAACTGCGTGCAAAAACTTCCAATGTTTTTACCAAATTTAAAGACGATATCGAAGTCGATGGGAAATGTAAAAAAAAAAGAAGAAGAAGAGCATTTCATAATTTTAAACAATATAATGTCGAGTCAAGCTCGACATAGGAATTGGTTTAACGAGTACAAGGTTTAAGACTTGTGCCGTGCTACAAAGTGATGCAAAATATCAGATAAATTTAAGATTGTATGTCACACTTTTATTTATGGTTATAGCAAATGTCTTTTTGCAAAAAAATTGTTTATATTTCTATTTTTATTTATTTTTTTTTTTTTTTTGTTTGTCGTATAGATTCTCCCTCCTCCTTGATGCGATAGTTACGGGTGTAATGTTTGCTTTTTGTTTTTGTTTTCATTTTTTGGGTTTTTTTTTTTTCTTTCACTTCGCCAAAAGTTATGTCCAAGTTTAGTTTTTATTTATGGGAAAAATTTAACGCAAAAATATATTTATTGCCTAATATTGACCATATGCCACTTAATACATTCACTTTGAAGCATTTTGCAAAAACACTCTAATTCGCAGCCGCATTCTCGATGACCATGATTTTTACTAAACATTTCATGTTTTACAAATTTGTCCACAAGGATGCTTTAGCGTTCGCTAAAAGTTCGTTAACGGTTGCCATATGAGCAGCAATCTTTTTAATGGGTGATGAGAGGGCTCTGCTTTGGTTTAATATAAGCTATATGAGAAGGTTTATTATTTGCTAAAAGCATTAGAAAAGCCGACTAACAGCCATATTTTGTTAGGTCGCTTTTTATTACAACACCACACCACACCACACCACACCACACCACATCTAAAGATAATAACCAACAGGATTTATAGGCATTAAGTTGTTAACTAAAAGTGCAACTATGAGTCGGTCGTAAATCATGGACAAAAGCTTTACTTTCACCAAAGATACATAAATATATATATATATATATATATATATGTATATAATAGGATTAAGATACGAAAGACATAATAAAGTTTTAAATAAAGAAATTCAAGTAGCATATGCTTTATGGTATATAAGGATATATTTTCTTTTGAAACTTATTTAAGATCATTCTCAATAAAAATAAAGAAAGAAAACAACATTTATTTTAATTGCTTTCACGTTTCTCTTACGTTAAGTTTATGCTCTACATCAGTTGCGGTAAAAGTGTATATTAAATTTCCCCAAATGTATATGATGCCCAAAAGAAGTTCAAATAGCCCCAACTTCTATTATACCGATCGATTCAGAAACACATTTTGAAACAATTTAACCTAATTTATCCGTTTTCTGATTGTTTTCTCGGATTCAACCTATAGCTCATAATTTTCAAGATATTTTGACGAAATTTGATACGCTAATGTGTTTTGGCCCAAAGACAAACACTGTTCCAATGACCAGAACGAAGTGAACAATTTTTCAAGTCAAAATTAAAATTTTCAAAATTTAATTTTTTTTTCAATATCTTTAAAACACGCAGAAGTATGCTTCAAAAAAAACTCTTCAAAATTATATAAATTCTTGGCCAATTTCAAATTCGAAATGAGCCAAACCATGTTCGCCTGTCCAGCTATCCAGCTGTCTGTCTGCGTGACTGTACAGTATATGTGTTAGGCAAACTCCCGTTCGCAAAAATGAAGACATCACCTACATATTTGCGAAAGCATTTGCGAATGGTCCATACATTCCAAAGAACATGACTGCAACGCCCACACGGCTATGTTGCAAAAACTGTGAACACTTTTGCTTTCCGTATTTTTTGACTTTTTGTTGTGGTAACGTTGATGGGTATAAATGACTCGATCGCAACCGCAGAACCGCCCGTAAATGTCGGGACGGACGTAATTAAGCCAAATTAAAATCGTAACCCGATCGACAGAAAACTATGCGCTGCTTGTTTTCGTGGTCTTGTTTTCACATCTACTTCATCTATGCTTTAAAAGAATGTGTGTGAAAAGTTATATGCCGCTGAAATTGTCACTTTAACTTTTTTTTTTGTTTTTTTTTTGTTTTTTTTTAAACACTTTAACCGAAATCGTGTAAACCGTGCAAACCGTATAGATATGAAATACAGGCTAATTATGCATTGGGAAGATCGCGATATAAGTATACATATATAAATATAATATAACATTGTCTAAAAAATATTAAGCCTTATATAATAAATACAATAAAGTACATATTTGTGCCCTATATTGGTAGATATGAGTATAAGAATCGAGTAAATATGAAATAAATATATATATATATATATATATGAATAAACATCGCATATAGTTGTTCAACTATCAAATAAAACGAAAGCAAAGGAAGAGATGGACTTAAGTTAATATTAAAATAAGAATATTCGCTGTTCATCCAGCTATTAATTTATATATGTATATATATTTATATATATGTTTATATGTACTTACGTTAATAGTTGCGTGGTATCACGTTCAATTTGAAAAAGATTTCTCGATGTGTAATCATTGAAATTTGATATGGCTTTACTAATATCCTTGGTGCCATCAATAATGGCCTGATTTTTACCCCAAGTCTCAATATAAACTACAGCCACTCGTGTGTTCATGGTGCGAAAATACTGCAAAAAAAAAAAAAAACACAAAAAAAAAAAACAAAAAGAAAGAAGAAACGAAATATAAGAAAGAAATTAAGAAATCAGAAAAAGATACGAAAACCGAGACATGAGGAGAAACATAGTTAAAAAGCAATTTTTAATTAATTTCTTAAATAATTTGAAATTGAATTCACAATGCATAGGTAAACAAATCAATATATTATATATTTATATATATATTATATATATATATATATATATATATATTTATATTTGTATATTTATGTGTGCACATATTACATATATGTATGTGTAATAATGAAGTTGCAAAAACACAATAATTTCTGTTTCAGGTGATGAAAATGAGTTTTGACACGAACATGCATGATTTATTTGTTGGTTGGTTGGCTGGATGGTTGGTTGATCGGTCGGTTGGGTAAACAAAAACCACAAAAGCATGAATGCAACAATACATAACAACACTGAAGTGTAAGTGTGAATGAAGTGTGACTGCTGTTCTATCTTAGGGATGGACGGAGCAGGTTGGGGGAGGGGGGGGGAGCGCTTGGGGTCGTAAAAAATTGAACATACTGTTGTAGACAATGTGTAATAAAAACAAAAAACCACTAACTACCGCACTGTAAATTTAAAAGACTTATATGAAATGTGTGTGTGTGATATGAAGAGAAAGAAAGAGATAGATATAAAGATATATAGAGTTTTCTTAATAGTCTCTGGAGTCTGGGCAACCAATAAAATTGCATTTTAACTTAAATGACTTGAAGTGTAGTCTTAAACTAATGGCAAAATGAATGGATACAATGATCATCATCGTCATTATCGTAGAGCCGGCGAGATAGGGCAAAAGGGGAATTTTCAAAGCAAAGATGCTATAAATAACAGGGATTTGTCAGGCGGAAACGGAAAAACTGTAAACACAAGTTTTGTTGAAGATTTTCATACACTACCCATGGTAAATAAAATGCATTTCAATTTAGGTTTGTTTTGCTTACATGTATACGTCGTATATGTGAATTAAGAGATGAGTACAGATTTCGAATAAAAGAAGAATAATACTCCTGCTCTTGCTTATTGCTGCAATTGCGGAATACATTGAGTTGCATATATATATATATATATATATATATATATATATATATATATATATTCGCACATATACATATACGTACATATATGCACGTTGAGTAGATTTATCATTTTTAAAGAAACTTTTGTTTTACGTGCACACATTCATCTATACATTCATCCGCTTGTCTTTCTGCCTAACTATGTGCTTACATGCGTATACGTAACATTTGCAGGATTGTGTGAATTTGTTTCTTTCTCCTATTTTTTTGTTTTTTTTTTTTGTTTTTTTCATTTTAAATACCTCTGTCTGGCCAACAGTACAGCAAGTGATTTAGTTGTTTCAATTGTTTCATTGAATACGAGTGCTTCTGTATATATATATATATATATATATGGATGCGTGTAAACATAAACAATATCTAGCTATTGTTGTATTTATTATGTTATTGTTTTCTTTTAGAGCATTATCTCATCGACATTAGAAAATTTCTGACATGTACGTACAGTAGTACACATGTAAGTAAGCGTGCACCTGCATTTCTATTCTTTTTTTTTTTGCTTCCTTTCATTCATAGATTCTTCTGCTGAATATCGAAAGAGACAAGCACGTTCACGTATATACGTTCACAATACGCATACGTATACCCCTCTGTAATCATTGATTGAAAGAAGAGTTTACCTATCGTTTGTTTATACGCACACACATTCATTTCAAAAGCAATTTTCATAATTTTCACACACTTTTCAAAATATGCATATTTTTCTTAGAAATAATTGTCAGATTTTTTTTTTTTTTGTTTTTTTGTCAAATTCTCTTCGTTCAAATCTATCGAGAAAAGTCTGACTACAAATGTTTACATAGAACATAAATTTAAATTGAAATTGTGCATAAATTCAATTCAATTCTCTAAATAGTAAAAGAAATTGTCATCTAGTTAGTTAGTTTATGTTAAAAAGGTATTCTTCCTCAGAAATTATATATAAATATAAGCAAAGCGTTTAAAAGATTATTAGTATTATTATTATTATTATTATTATTATTATTATTATGATTTTGTTTTCGATTTAATTCGCAACAGGAAAGTTAAAAATGGTTTACTTTCCTTTTTTCTTTTAAAAAGTAAACGAATTCTCTCGAATTATTATTTGTTTTCATTTCAGTTATATTAACAATTGTGTCGAAGGTAAGACTATAAGCGTTGAGAAAAGTATCCAGTCACACATAACAATTATTTGTGCAGCTCGTTCGTGAATTACATCAAGTTAAGGGTATACAATGCTAGTGTTTTAAAGGGCAAGTTAATGACTTTAAATAAAATTGCTATTGCATTGTATTCGCATCGGGTTAAGAAAGCGAAAAGAAAAAGCATTAAGTAGTTAGAAGGATTCAACGATTTTTGTGGTGCAAAAGTGTCTTGTTTACTCTAAGACTATGCGGAAAAATTAAAACATTTGTTAAAGAATATAGTTTTTCAGCTTATCGCGATTATAGATTTTATTTATAACGCATTAGTAGAGACTTTTGTCGCAAGTTAAATAGTCTGTGAATTGAAATAAGAAGAGGATTGAAGAGTGGAGCCGAACAAAGGTGAGATAACATTGCATAAGTTATGAATACATAGCAATATATAAGTAAGATGTGTATTAACCCAAGATCTCTGATTGCGATACAATTATTCCAAAGATGTTGCTTGACGGAATTCGGCAATCGGTAGAAACTTCCAACAGATTTTAATCGCATTAAGAATTTTAATAAAATACTCAGCTGAGACCATAGAGACGAAATTTAATCTAAGCGTGAATGCGTGCGAGAAGTGAGTTAAGAACTTTCGTCACGAGAATCTCTATTATGGCAATTGTTCCCTCGCTCTTTCGCTACAACAAGCATCGATTAAAAAAGGCTTTCTTCGATTTTGAATGCTATGAGAAAAGATGAACGCACAGATGGGATATAATTACGTTGATCATTGTACTTTTTCGAGATATGCACGAAATGTCGTGTGGGTAAACAAGTCCAATTATTTAATTAATCGTTAATCGAATTTATGTACTACGTACCAGGAAGTTATCTATATATACCACTTCCTACAACGGCATCTTTCAAAATACTGATATATTGACGGTCATCGAATACTTGAAAATTTGTGTGCAGGAATAAGGCATACATTACGATTTGTGTGTGGCATAAGTGATTTAGGTCGGTGCGGTTTCCTTCACGAAGAGAACCTAAAAATGACTGATTGGAGAAGCAATGGTAACCCACTCACAAATGCAAAAGTTTTAAATTATCTTCAAAATTCCACCAAAAGATGCTTCCTTCTCAGACGTTATCCCCCGATAGATTATTTGCGACATAAGGCATCTTTCGATCGGAAGTAATGCCTAAACAATACACTCGCAACTATGAGATGAACAAGATGTTAAGCAGCCGAATAGAGGTATGTCAGCAGACTTTAGTAAGTGGGACGATAACTCTTTACAAGGTACAGGCATGTTGGTACTTATCATGGAATTGTGAATGGACGGTTATATGCTAAAGCGCTAATTATTTCAAGGCCATGATTACTTTTTCAATTATCTGCAGCCATTTTGGCCGATTTGAATGCTGAACCCTTTGGCCCACGAATGGCAGAGTATAAATTTTTCCGCTGACTTACTATCAGGATACCTTGCTAAGTGAGGCTTATCAGCTTGCGTTGGTGCATGCGCTAAATATCTCAGTGCCAAAATCATGACCGAACTGAGGAACAAGGGGCGCAGCAGTTGTAGAACGTTCTTTCCATGACGGAAGATGTAAGCTTACACGAGTCCACAATTCCCCCGGCATAATACTTTACGATAGTTCCGGCAAGAATCCTATCAGACTTTTGCGATATTCCCTTTTTCTATAGCTTTTCCTTCGGTTAAAGCAAAAACTTGATTATCTTAAAAAAGCTTACCTAAAACACATAAGTTGAATAATAAATTCCGTTAGTCAGTTAACGAATGATTTTTGCAGGGGATAAATGACAATCTTGATGGAAGGAAAAGGAAAACACATCCTCCGCAATTCAGTAAACATCTATTGCGAAAAAGATGTTAACAATAACGCTACTATGTGAGCGATCACTATATTGAAAAAGAAATTTCGAAATTTCTCCTCCTTTTGAGAACCACTTTAATCGTTTAGTTATTGTGGGCGTGATACTAAACGATACGACTTTACGAAAATCAATTCGCACCACATGTTTCAATTTTAACGCGTTAATGCGCGAACGGGAATTGAATAAAATCAATCTACCTCTAGTGCAATTTCGTACGATTTAAGAATGATTCTAAGAAATGGTTACCGCTTGTCGATGGATGGAGTAGAAAGCAAAAATTGAATTTTTATTATATATAATAAAATTAATGCTGGTAATCAAATTTCATTTGCAGAAAGCTGGTCAAAGGCTTTAAATATTCGATAAGTTTTTTTTTTTTTTTTTTTTTTTTTTTTTTTTTTTTTTTTTTTTTTTGCTTTTTTCTGTGAAAGAAAAAAATATTTAACAGAGTATGTAACGTATGAAATTTTATATATGTTTCGATTTTTATGAGTACTTTTGAAAAAAATTAAAGCAGCAATCGGTAAACTTTGCTGTGCGGAATCATATATATATATATATATATATATATATATCTAGATTATATAAAGATAAATATATATATATGTATATAGATCTTTGCATGTGTACGGTGGCAATATTTTTTATGGGTCTGGTATTACCAAGAGGGTAGCAAAGATAGAAAGGTTAGTAGATGAGGAAAAGCATAGTAGTGAAGAATGTACGAGTAATATATATGTATATATTTATATATATATATATATATATATATATATATATGTATATATGCGTATGTTGTGTTTGTGTGTGTGTGTGCGTGTATATATATATATGTGTGTGGTTAAAAGGAAACTAAATCGAAAGAGAACACACGGAAGTGCTTGCCTAGCACTCAAATAAATGTATGCGAATGTACGTATGAGTGTCTGTCACTGGATCAGTGGGTGTGCGTACGGTTGTGGATGTTTTTTGTATTTATATTTGTATTAGAAAAGGCTTTTGTGCTCTGTGTCAGCACAGTCCTGATGGACCAAGTTGAGTGAGTGAGTTCCCAAACACACAAACTGCAGCACACAAATGTATGCTGATTCTTCTTTAAGCAAAGACCACACAGTTGTGTGAATGTGCGCAGAGAGGAAAAAAGAAAAAAAAAAAAAAAATAAATAAATAAAAAAAAAAATAAAAGAAAAGAAAGAAAACGAGGAAAACTTAAAATTTATGTTTTGCATTTAAAAGATTTAAAGCCTCCTGTGGTAAGGCTAAACTGAAAGAAATGACTTTTGTCGAATAGAGTATGTGCGTACGGATGTGCGCAAAACAAATAGAAG